GCCAGGCACCAGTGGACTGCAGTTTCCCAAAAGGCTATGTGAAATTCAAGGGAAACGTCAGCTCAACTCATATCATTGTGGGAAAATTCGACTACCAGTCCTTCATCACTTTAGACGAAATAGGGTGAATACATTTCATTACTTTTATTTCATAAGTAGTAGGTCTTCGAGACAGCCAGTAGCTTTGGTATGAGATCAGTATTCACCCTATAAACTTCATATAGCGTTGCTTCCAACAAGGTATTCTCATCCCGGCTAGATTGAACTGCGATTTCCATCTCGCCTAGGTCTCATCAGTACCCCCAGCAGGACTCGAACCCAATTTGTGGCAGTATAGCGTATGCTCTCGGCACGTTAACCTTCATCATCTTAACGAAATGGGGTGAGTATAGTTGTTATGTACGATTCAGTATGGGTGCGTGTATACGTATGTGTGAATCATAACGCGTGCAAATTATAGTGATACAGGGTTGTCAAGGTTAAATGACTTCAGGTAAAACATGGCCGCGATTGGGTAATCCGAGCACAAGTTTGATGGAGTCGACTTTTCCAGACAGTTTGCTTAATCCCCTCTTTCGCTCTCGCTCTCTCTCCGATTGCGATTGGGCAATCCGAGCACAAGTTTGATAGAGTCAACTTCTTTAGACAGTTTTCTCAGACTCCTCTTTCGCTCTCTCTCTCTCTCTCTCTACTTAAGCACACACAATTGACGTCAAACTTCTTACATGACCTACTTTCTGTCGAACGGTTGTGTGCACTTGTCTCTTTGACGAATTGTTGTTTCGTTCTAAGACGGATAAAATGCACTGATGATGTCAACGAAACGTGTTGAATATGTATCAAGTCTTCATGACCACAACAGCAGACGACTTCGGAAAAGGTGCGCCCAACTAGGTTGTCCTGACAACGCGACCAAGTTGAGAAAATGAAGTCAGATCATTGCTTGTAGACGCCCTAACCGGCTTAAGTTGATTTGGGAATTGCGAATGAAATTTTTCCACCTGACAGTCTCATCATTCTTGCCTCCCCACCCTCCTCCAAATGGTAGGGAGGAGGGGAGTGCTTGTCTACCAGGAAGGCAACATCGTGTCTGCTACTCAATTCTTTATTGCACCAAAAGTTACAGCAACCGGTTGTCCACCATAAATGATTGATGTCAGGTTTGTATTTTTAAGCCCTCAAGAGGCTGCGCGTCGCCAAGCGACATCAGTTTTGAGTGGTCTCCTGTTTGACTGATCTCTTTGATGACCACCAAGTGTGCTATTTTTCCCCTTTTACTGTGGTCCCATGTTCGAGGCCCCTTTGAGGCTGTTGCTGGACGGAAGTTGCCGTCGAGACGAGTTGAAAACGGCTTTTCGGGACGATTTGTGAATGAAGATTTATTTTCTAAGAAGCAAGCTTCTTCTTCAATTTCATTATCGACACCAGCTCAACATGAAACCACTCGTAACCGGTTCGTTTCGACCACAATCAGGTGGCCACCTCAACCGGCCAGACATGTGTTTCTCACAGAGCAACATGTTTGCAAGGATCTTGACAGGACACAGCAGAGGCTCTTCCAGCAACCCGGCCGAATGTTTATTCAGCTGTTCCCTGTTTCCACTTGCCAGCCCTCCCGTCTCCCTCCTGCACCGCGCGAGGCTGGCAGACTCGGATTACGGCCGAGTCGAGAGTGAAAAGTCACCTCACAAATTGGTGCCACTCATTCGTCTAGCTATCCACCCGTCCATTCGCTTGTCCACCAAGAAGTGGACCAGCCTGCACACCCAGCTCCGGTAACCGCCATTCCAGCCGCCCACTCAGCGACTCACAGACCCACTTGTTCGTGTGTCACACAAGACATACAAGCGACCTGTCTGTATGTCTGCCTGCATGTGGTCAAACAGGACACTTGCCAATCGACAGGAAGACTGTCGT